TATAGCTGCAAACCGTTCTTCTCCTGTATTAGCTAGATATTATATGGAATGTCTTTTTCAATCGAAATAGATTTGTTCTATAATTAACACTGTATGTATTTATTAGAGCTAGCAAATAATATATACATAGGCATTTTATACACCGCAGACGTAATATTTTCGAAGCGCAACACAACCTCGACTTTTAATAAATTTTTTAAAGAAAATACTGTACTTGCATCAACATATTAAATATTATTTACCTATGATCCATGAGTGTCATTTATTTTCATATCGAGACAATGTACAGGTAAAATTCTTTAATTCACAACATGTGAATTAAGGATAAAGGTTGAATTATAGTGAGCAAGACTTTGATTAGTATTAATGCCGACACATCGATTTGACTTATCGAACGCGGACTTTCGGAAATGTCCTACGGCCGCCATAAAATTGCCGGACAATGTCCGCTACAACGCTGCCAGTCATTACAAGATATTCTACTCTCATTTATCAAAATATCCACTAAAACATAGAAATCAATTTTCACTCTTTTTCATTAGTTGGAGTCAAGTAAGTTCAGTATCATAATCATTCTACACGTTTCTTAACTTTAACAAGTAAATTTATTTCTCAAATAGAGATTCCGCCCAAGAAAATTAGAATCTTCGTATAGTAATAATAGTGAAAGTTTAGTCTAATATATTTGTTAAAGGTAAACTAAAAGAATGTACTCACCAAAGAAAGAATTACACAGAGAACCGTCAATCCCTAGAGAGCAATGGTGTATAACCTCGAGAAAGATTAGAAGAACTGATTACTAATTTAAAGCATGAGAAAAGCGAGGTAAACATATTAATCATAGCAAGTAACTTGAGTAAATCGACAATTAAATACTTAAAGAAAGTGAGATTAATTCGGAATTTTTCATGGACCATAATTTTAAAGCGCTATGAGCGTCTACACATGTAACACCTCTTGAGAAAAAAAGGGACACCAAAGCACGCATGGTAATCGTTATAAAAAGGGAGAGAACCGTCCTCAAGTAGTTAAAAGTTTGTAATTTTTTATTTAAGTTCAAATTCTTAAAATACATAATATTACACAACACAAGATATTATTAAAGTTCAATCAAGAACTATGAGTTATACAAACTTGGGTAAGATCAAAGAACGTGCAAATAATCTTGGTTCGATTAATACAGGTGAGCGAGAGTTTAATAATTTAATTTTTTTCCTTTTCATTTAAATTATATTAACGGGATTTGTTATATATTTAGATTATTCAACAACAAGAAATATACGTAATTTTACCGCTATAATATCAAATAATAATAATATAGTTATTAATGATAATGATGATAATAAAACAGACATTTCTGACTCAAAAACATCCGATTATAATCGTCGACTGGATTACGATCATCTACTATACATTTCCGTCGTCATGCCACCACGAAATTCTATTCTCACTAATAATAACAATAGCAACGGTAACAATAATATTGGACAACAATCAACATCTGAAGTTAGCAGTAATGCTGGTGGCATTTTGATAAATGCTGTTGCCGCACTGGGTTATAATAGACCAAGTAGTCAGGTTAGGAGAACTGCAAGTTTTGATAAAATTAGCAAGGACTATTTTTAGAATATTTCTTTTGTATTATATTTTACTTTTTTTAGAAAATTACTATTTAATAATTTTTTTTAGATATTTAATTGAAGAAATGTATCTGAAATAATAAATGAAGCGTTGTGGTTAATACGAATTTTATTCTTTAAGAAAACTTCATACTCTAAACGAATTTTATGAAATTTGCTATCGAATTTTATATATATGCTTGCATAAAAATTCAAGTTGGTAATTATACAGTATAATAAATCGTAGAGCGATTTTTGTATTTACATAAAAAAACATCACATCATACACATTGGAAAAGGCTTTCAAAGCTGTGAGGCAGAAAGTATCATCGTTTGTGGAAACTTTACAAGCGTAAATGCGGCGTTAGAAGAAAAAGAATAAAAAAGAACACTAAGGATCAATAGTCTTCGCCCCACAATATATTTAATTCAGGCCCGTGCTAATTGGCACCTAAGGCAACGACAAGAAAAAACTAGAAAAAATAACAATCAATATTAATCAAGAAACTTTCTATTCGTAACATAACATGGACAACATGCAAGTATAAATCAACATTCCCACCACCTATATGACAAGAGGTCATGTGGCCTACCATTGCATGCAGAATGTTCACCACCTATATGACAAGTTAGGTCATTCCACATGCACCTTCTGCAGACAGATGAACTATGTTACATAAGTCGGCAGGCGCTGCAAAAAGGAGGTCACCACCTATATGGCAAGTGATTGTCTCCCCTTTGCACTTCCAGTACGGCCGCCGCTTATATGGCCGTCACGGACGTATGGACCAAGACCAAAAGAGCTGGAGTATCTGACAATAAAATATATAAAAGACAAAAAAAACTTATCCATTAGATATTGGAAAGAAGCGAAAGAAGCAAAGGAGTGAGATCCAATCTTAATAGAAACGAAAATATGCGGTCCAGTTTAGGGATGCTTAGAGCATAATTTAAATTTCTGGGTAGAGCACATTCTTTAACCCTCATATATCATCATCTATTAACATTTTAAATATCAAAATAAAAAAAGGAATACTTAACTTTCATTTTTTTCACTTGTGTATGTGGGTAAACCAATCAAATAGCAGGATCACAGTGTAACGGAAAAATTCAAAATAGCGATGAAACTGCGAGCGAGAGTGGAAAGCGAGAGCAAGAACAAGACGACAAGCGAGCGTGAGCAATAGCGAGAGAGTGAGAGCGCGAACAGACGAGAGATAGTAAGTGTGTGGGCAAAGCGAACAACCAAAATAAGTGAGTAAAACTAGTATTTGATGGCCTGTGTTTTTGTTTGTCAGCCACTGCCATATCAATATATTATAATCCTGGATATTATATCGACATGAGTAACGTCATGTTGGGAATAATCATTATTAATAGCGATAGTGATCATGGATATCTTACAAAAGATGTATATGTTCTATTTTTAGCATGGTTTTACGTTTGTAGATACCAATCGCCGATGATCTCTATCAACGATTGTATTTGATAAACTGATTAATTACATTTATTTGATATTTAATTCAATTAACAAATATAATAACTATTTTACTAACAGAATATAACTTAACAAAAGAACTAATACTAGTTTCCAATAACAATTATTCCAAAACCACAAAAATAGGTTTATCCCGAAAAGTAAATAAAATGGATTACGATATCAAAGTCAAAATCCAATAATTCAAAGAGTCAAACGAAACATGGAAAAAGGTGATTCATCAACTTTGCATGGCCAAAGCAATTAACCTTCGATTTTGTTAAGAGCGTGGTCCAGAATTTCGGTATCAGTTAAGCTTTTACTCAACAAGCCATTCAAAATTGATTGGTTTATTCTAGCTGATCGACAACAATCTTAGCTGGAGTTGCTTTCGACCTCGCTCATAAGAGGACAAAATATTATCCACTAATCCACAAAAATATTCATAAACTTATACACTTGTTAAAAGAATATTTACCATTTACAATGTATTCCATCTCCATTTTGCAATATAATCACATGCTTTACAATAACATCAATTTCAGTATGATGTTTGCCATCACAATCTAACAAATCATTGCTTTCTTTAACCTGAATAAGGCTATATTAAAAGATAAATAAATAAGGACAAGTACCATAATAAGATAAAACGAATAAGTACTCACAAAATCCTATAGAACACAATTATTTTATAAGGCAAGTATGAGCTGGTATGCTGAAAATGATTTCACCTTCCTTAATCATATATGTACCAGTAAATAATAAATTTATATGTAAGACAATATCTAATAAGAAATTCTTCATAGTTCTTCAGCATGTCGAGAGATCTTATCAGCAGAAATGTCGTTACCGAATTTTCTGAGGGCAAATGTTAATTCTGCATGTTAGCCGACACAGAACTGAAAACACAATCCAAAGCAGGAATAATTTCTTCGTCTTCATCATCATCATGGTCACACATAATGACATTATTGGAGGATCATGCTCTTCATTACTCGAAGAAATAAAGTTTAGTGGTGGTGATCTTGTTAGTAGTAAGCCATCAGGAAGAATATTTCCATCTTCCTACTGATTCAAAATCAATTTAAGAGTATATTTGGAACCATTTCCGCGCTATCTTCAGACCATCTCAAATACCCTTCTTCTATAATAAAGAAATCAGTAACAAACCGTTAAGGAATAACAGAAATTCATAAAGCACTTGCCTCAATTCCATGTCAACAAATTGAATTTCGATTTCTAATGATCTAAATTTATCGCATTCTTCCCAAATTATTTGTTTTGTTGTTCTTAGACATTCCCAAATATAAAATTAATGTAAGTTTAATTATAATGATACGATCATCTCGAGATCTCGGGGCAGAAAGAGGGAAAAGGAAAGCCCATAATAAGCCACGGGAACTCGTCCTTCAAGTTTAGCTCAAAGGGACCCTTACTTTACCAAAAATGCGTTTCCATGACCAGGTGATCTCGTCATTACCCATCGGTTTTAAGCTCATTAAAACCTTCTCAGAGGGATTAGCTATGGAGTACACTGATATTCCTGTTAAAAGATGAAAATTGTGCTTATCTGCAATTCCTTCTGTAAATTAAAAGATTTCATTGTAAGCAGGATATGTAATTTAGCATACTTGCTTCAAACATCTCAACTCGTCATCTAAGGGCTGCGTGTATTATTTGATGTTGATCTTGGATGCGTTACAATCCAATATATGTATATCACAGTCGTCTATGCTTCTTCTAGGTTTGAGATGCCGGTTCCAGTAATCTAAAACAGCCAATATTTATAGTTCTCAGTGTTTCAACTAATAAAAATAGAATTTGACAGGGCGTAGGATCGGTTTTCAGTTCACGTGATGAGCACAAACATGTCGGAAAACTTAAAATTTCGTCTATGTTAGGGTTCAGGTTAGGATTAGGTTAAGGAAGCACTATATTATAGTAGAATTGCACAAGATTTTTATTAGAGCATAAAAACGACAGACTCGATTCTAAGTGCTGAATCAGGTGATCTTTCCGGGCCATTGTCGAAAGAAATTTATAATCGGGGAATTAGTCTGTGGTCACATGATAATAGACAGAATTTTCATTAAAAAATATAATTTTTAATAACAATATGTTATATATTTATTACTAAACATATTCATTATACTTTTTAATATATCCATGTCTGCACAGCTATTGAAAAATAATAAAAAAGTACATGTCTTTGACAAAATTCATACAAAAATTTTTATTTTTATGCATCCAAGAATCTGAGAAATTCATACAAAAGTTTGTATCGTAAGTTATTTCTTTGATCCATAGAGATCCTTACAAAATTCATAACGAAATTCACATTTTGTTTGTACATAATAATTCTACTTTATTTGTTCTTATTATTACAATAAAATTTTATTATATTCATTATTTCGAAGTATAGTCAGACGCCTTTTGTCAAAATTCTTACAAAAATTCACACTTTGTACGTTAGAGCTCGCGAATTATATAGTAACTTACGATCAGTAGCTTAGATACTTATATAGTAATCAAAATTGTATGATAGGATGACTCTCGACAAGTCAATGTGAAAAATAAATTATTCTTAACTCTTCCTTAACAGCACTTCAGCTTTTATTTCTTTTGTGTCTTAACAAAATCGATAGCTTTATTTCTTTTGTACTTAACAAAATCGAAGGCTTTACTATTTTGGCCATACAAAGTTACTGCGTATTCTTTAATTATTGATTCTTTGATTCGATTCTTTGGTATCGTTATTTTTTTGTAATAAGGAAAATCCATTTTATAGCTAATAGAGAGGTGATGAGATGATATTGAAGGGACTAATTTTATCAATTTTATCTGGAGCAAATAGTTTTACTAGTAAATTTGTGTAGTAAATTTTTTGTAATTTGAATTACAGTTATCTTATATTAGTAAATAGCTATTATAAAAAATGTCATCTCTTTCACCCGTACATCTCACGGGTATTTCAAACAACGCCTCACAAAATTTCGAAACTCAAAACTATGTTCCTCCTCAG